CTGAAGGGTCCAAAAGTGGAGGGTCCAGATATTGATGTGAAAATACCTAAAGCCAATATTGAAGTTAAGGCACCAGAATTGGACATCCAAGCTCCAGAGTTAGACATTGGAGGACCTGATGGAAAAATCAAGGGCCCCAAATTCAAGATGCCATCAATCTCTGGTCCAAAGATTTCTATGCCAGACATTGACTTCAACCTGAAAGGTCCAAAACTTAAAGGTGGTGTTGACATGTCCGTTCCTAAAGTGGAAGGAGATATTAAAGAACCAAAAGTTGAAATTGAAGGCCCAGAAATTGAAGGACCTGATGGTGGTTTTAAGATGCCAAAAATGAAAATGTCATCATTCGGACTGAAGGGTCCAAAAGTGGAGGGTCCAGATATTGATGTGAAAATCCCTAAAGCCAATATTGAAGTTAAGGCCCCAGAATTGGACATCCACGCTCCAGAGTTAGACATTGAAGGACCTGAGGGAAAAATCAAAGGCCCCAACTTCAAGATGCCATCATTCGCTGGTCCAAAGATTTCTATGCCAGACGTTGACTTCAACCTGAAAAGTCCAAAACTGAAAGGTGATTTTGATGTGTCTGTTCCCAAAGTGAAAGGAGATATTAAAGCACCAAAGGTTGATATTGAAGGCCCAGAAATGGAAGGACCTGATGGTGGTTTTAAGATGCCAAAGTCCAAAATGCCATCATTCGGACTGAAGGGTCCAAAAGCGGAGGGTCCAGATATTGATGTGAAAATCCCTAAAGCCAATATTGAAGTTAAGGCCCCAGAATTGGACATCCACGCTCCAGAGTTAGACATTGAAGGACCTGAGGGAAAAATCAAAGGCCCCAACTTCAAGATGCCATCATTCGCTGGTCCAAAGATTTCTATGCCAGACGTTGACTTCAACCTGAAAAGTCCAAAACTGAAAGGTGATTTTGATGTGTCTGTTCCCAAAGTGAAAGGAGATATTAAAGCACCAAAGGTTGATATTGAAGGCCCAGAAATGGAAGGACCTGATGGTGGTTTTAAGATGCCAAAGTCCAAAATGCCATCATTCGGACTGAAGGGTCCAAAAGCGGAGGGTCCAGATATTGATGTGAAAATCCCTAAAGCCAATATTGAAGTTAAGGCCCCAGAATTGGACATCCACGCTCCAGAGTTAGACATTGAAGGACCTGAGGGAAAAATCAAAGGCCCCAACTTCAAGATGCCATCATTCGCTGGTCCAAAGATTTCTATGCCAGACGTTGACTTCAACCTGAAAAGTCCAAAACTGAAAGGTGATTTTGATGTGTCTGTTCCCAAAGTGAAAGGAGATATTAAAGCACCAAAGGTTGATATTGAAGGCCCAGAAATGGAAGGACCTGATGGTGGTTTTAAGATGCCAAAGTCCAAAATGCCATCATTCGGACTGAAGGGTCCAAAAGCGGAGGGTCCAGATATTGATGTGAAAATCCCTAAAGCCAATATTGAAGTTAAGGCCCCAGAATTGGACATCCACGCTCCAGAGTTAGACATTGAAGGACCTGAGGGAAAAATCAAAGGCCCCAACTTCAAGATGCCATCATTCGCTGGTCCAAAGATTTCTATGCCAGACGTTGACTTCAACCTGAAAAGTCCAAAACTGAAAGGTGATTTTGATGTGTCTGTTCCCAAAGTGAAAGGAGATATTAAAGCACCAAAGGTTGATATTGAAGGCCCAGAAATGGAAGGACCTGATGGTGGTTTTAAGATGCCAAAGTCCAAAATGCCATCATTCGGACTGAAGGGTCCAAAAGCGGAGGGTCCAGATATTGATGTGAAAATCCCTAAAGCCAATATTGAAGTTAAGGCCCCAGAATTGGACATCCACGCTCCAGAGTTAGACATTGAAGGACCTGAGGGAAAAATCAAAGGCCCCAACTTCAAGATGCCATCATTCGCTGGTCCAAAGATTTCTATGCCAGACGTTGACTTCAACCTGAAAAGTCCAAAACTGAAAGGTGATTTTGATGTGTCTGTTCCCAAAGTGAAAGGAGATATTAAAGCACCAAAGGTTGATATTGAAGGCCCAGAAATGGAAGGACCTGATGGTGGTTTTAAGATGCCAAAGTCCAAAATGCCATCATTCGGACTGAAGGGTCCAAAAGCGGAGGGTCCAGATATTGATGTGAAAATCCCTAAAGCCAATATTGAAGTTAAGGCCCCAGAATTGGACATCCACGCTCCAGAGTTAGACATTGAAGGACCTGAGGGAAAAATCAAAGGCCCCAACTTCAAGATGCCATCATTCGCTGGTCCAAAGATTTCTATGCCAGACGTTGACTTCAACCTGAAAAGTCCAAAACTGAAAGGTGATTTTGATGTGTCTGTTCCCAAAGTGAAAGGAGATATTAAAGCACCAAAGGTTGATATTGAAGGCCCAGAAATGGAAGGACCTGATGGTGGTTTTAAGATGCCAAAGTCCAAAATGCCATCATTCGGACTGAAGGGTCCAAAAGCGGAGGGTCCAGATATTGATGTGAAAATCCCTAAAGCCAATATTGAAGTTAAGGCCCCAGAATTGGACATCCACGCTCCAGAGTTAGACATTGAAGGACCTGAGGGAAAAATCAAAGGCCCCAACTTCAAGATGCCATCATTCGCTGGTCCAAAGATTTCTATGCCAGACGTTGACTTCAACCTGAAAAGTCCAAAACTGAAAGGTGATTTTGATGTGTCTGTTCCCAAAGTGAAAGGAGATATTAAAGCACCAAAGGTTGATATTGAAGGCCCAGAAATGGAAGGACCTGATGGTGGTTTTAAGATGCCAAAGTCCAAAATGCCATCATTCGGACTGAAGGGTCCAAAAGCGGAGGGTCCAGATATTGATGTGAAAATCCCTAAAGCCAATATTGAAGTTAAGGCCCCAGAATTGGACATCCACGCTCCAGAGTTAGACATTGAAGGACCTGAGGGAAAAATCAAAGGCCCCAACTTCAAGATGCCATCATTCGCTGGTCCAAAGATTTCTATGCCAGACGTTGACTTCAACCTGAAAAGTCCAAAACTGAAAGGTGATTTTGATGTGTCTGTTCCCAAAGTGAAAGGAGATATTAAAGCACCAAAGGTTGATATTGAAGGCCCAGAAATGGAAGGACCTGATGGTGGTTTTAAGATGCCAAAGTCCAAAATGCCATCATTCGGACTGAAGGGTCCAAAAGCGGAGGGTCCAGATATTGATGTGAAAATCCCTAAAGCCAATATTGAAGTTAAGGCCCCAGAATTGGACATCCACGCTCCAGAGTTAGACATTGAAGGACCTGAGGGAAAAATCAAAGGCCCCAACTTCAAGATGCCATCATTCGCTGGTCCAAAGATTTCTATGCCAGACGTTGACTTCAACCTGAAAAGTCCAAAACTGAAAGGTGATTTTGATGTGTCTGTTCCCAAAGTGAAAGGAGATATTAAAGCACCAAAGGTTGATATTGAAGGCCCAGAAATGGAAGGACCTGATGGTGGTTTTAAGATGCCAAAGTCCAAAATGCCATCATTCGGACTGAAGGGTCCAAAAGCGGAGGGTCCAGATATTGATGTGAAAATCCCTAAAGCCAATATTGAAGTTAAGGCCCCAGAATTGGACATCCACGCTCCAGAGTTAGACATTGAAGGACCTGAGGGAAAAATCAAAGGCCCCAACTTCAAGATGCCATCATTCGCTGGTCCAAAGATTTCTATGCCAGACGTTGACTTCAACCTGAAAAGTCCAAAACTGAAAGGTGATTTTGATGTGTCTGTTCCCAAAGTGAAAGGAGATATTAAAGCACCAAAGGTTGATATTGAAGGCCCAGAAATGGAAGGACCTGATGGTGGTTTTAAGATGCCAAAGTCCAAAATGCCATCATTCGGACTGAAGGGTCCAAAAGCGGAGGGTCCAGATATTGATGTGAAAATCCCTAAAGCCAATATTGAAGTTAAGGCCCCAGAATTGGACATCCACGCTCCAGAGTTAGACATTGAAGGACCTGAGGGAAAAATCAAAGGCCCCAACTTCAAGATGCCATCATTCGCTGGTCCAAAGATTTCTATGCCAGACGTTGACTTCAACCTGAAAAGTCCAAAACTGAAAGGTGATTTTGATGTGTCTGTTCCCAAAGTGAAAGGAGATATTAAAGCACCAAAGGTTGATATTGAAGGCCCAGAAATGGAAGGACCTGATGGTGGTTTTAAGATGCCAAAGTCCAAAATGCCATCATTCGGACTGAAGGGTCCAAAAGCGGAGGGTCCAGATATTGATGTGAAAATCCCTAAAGCCAATATTGAAGTTAAGGCCCCAGAATTGGACATCCACGCTCCAGAGTTAGACATTGAAGGACCTGAGGGAAAAATCAAAGGCCCCAAATTCAAGATGCCATCATTCGCTGGTCCAAAGATTTCTATGCCAGACGTTGACTTCAACCTGAAAAGTCCAAAACTGAAAGGTGATTTTGATGTGTCCGTTCCTAAAGTGGAAGGAGATATTAAAGCACCAAAAGTTGATATTGAAGGCCCAGAAATTGAAGGACCTGATGGTGGTTTTAAGATGCCAAAGTTTAAAATGCCATCATTTGGACTGAAGGGTCCAAAAGTTGAGGGTCCAGATGTTGATGTGAAGGCACCAGATGTGGACCTCATAGCTCCAGAGTTAGACATTGAAGGACCTGAGGGAAAAATCAAGGGCCCCAAATTCAAGATGCCTTCAATCTCTAGTCCAAAGATTTCTATGCCAGACGTTGACTTCAACCTGAAAGGTCCAAAACTGAAAGGTGATGTTGACGTGTCCATTCCGAAATTGGAAGGAGGAATTAAAGCCCCTGATGTGGATATCAAGGGTCCAGAGCTTGATTTTGAGGGACCTGAGGGAAAAATCAAGGGTCCAAAATTCAAGATACCATCAATTTCTGGCCCAAAACTTTCTATGCCTGATATGGATTTCAACCTCAAAGGTCCAAAACTGAAAGGTGATGCTGACATGTCCGTTCTAAAAGTGGAAGGAGATATTAAACCACCAAAAGTTGAGATTGAAAGCCCAGACATTGAAGGACCTGAGGGTGGTTTTAAGATGCCAAAGATCAAAATGCCATCATTCGGACTGAAGGGTCCAAAAGTGGAGGGTCCAGATGTTGATGTGTCAATTCCAAAAGTTGAAGGAGACTTTAAAACACCAGATGTTGGTATCAAGGGGCCAAACCCTGACATAGAATTGCCTGAAGGAAAAATCAAGGGCCCAAATCTCAAGATGCCATCAGTATCTGGTCCTGAAGGCCCTAATGTTGAGGTTAATTTTCCAGAATCAAATGTGAAAAAGCCAAAATTCAAAATGCCCAAGTTTGGATTTAAAGGGCCAAAGATTGAAGCACCTGATGTTGATGTCAAACTTCCGAAAGGATCTAAAGTGAAAGGTCAAGCAGGTGTCAGTTTGGAGGGTGATGTCAATATGCCAAAAGTGGAAGTTGATTCTTCAAGTGTAGAAGTTAAAAGTCCAGAGGGAGGATTCAAGATGCCAAAATTTAAAATGCCAAAATTTGGTTTTAAATCACCCAAAGGAGAAATTGATGTCAGTGTACCTAGTGGTGATGTTGGTTTAAATTCACCTGATATTGACATCAAAACTCCTGATCTTGATATTGCAGGACCTGAGGGACAAATCAAGGGCACCAAATTCAAAATGCCTTCTTTATCTGGTCCAAAGATTTCTATGCCAGATGTAGACCTCAATTTGAAAAGTCCAAAAGTCAAGGGTGATATTGATGTTTCTGGACCCAAGATTTCAGGTGACATAAAGGCTCCAAAAGTGGATATTGAAGGACCTGAAGTTGATGTAGAGGGCCCAGAAGGTGGCTTCAAGATGCCTAAAATCAAAATGCCATCATTTGGACTAAGAGGTCCTAAAGTGGAGGGTTCAGATGTTGACATCAATCTCCCCAAAGCAGATCTTGACATTAAAGGATCTGAAATTGATGTTAAAGCTTCTGGACTTGATATTGAGGGACCTGAGGGGAAAATCAAAGGTCCCAATTTCAAAATGCCTTCCATATCAGGTCCAAAGATATCTATGCCAGATGTCAACATAAAAGGCCCCAAAGTCAAGGGTGATATGGATGTTTCTGTACCAAATATGTCAGGGGAAATAAAAGCCCCAAAAGTGGGCATTGATGGTCCTGATGTTGATATAGAGGGCCCGGAAGGTGGCTTAAAAATGCCTAAAATCAAAATGCCATCATTTGGACTCAAAGGTCCTAAAGTGGAGGGTCCAGATGTTGACATCAATCTCCCCAAAGCAGATGTTGACATTAAAGGACCTGAAATTGACATCAAAACTCCTGATCTTAACATTGAAGGGCCTGAGTGGAAAATCAAAGGTCCCAAGTTCAAAATGCCTTCAATATCAGGTCCAAAGATCTCTATGCCAGATGTCGACTTAAATCTTAAAGGCCCCAAAGTCAAGGGTGATATGGATATTTCTGTACCAAAGATTTCGGGTGATCTAAAGGCACCAAAAGTGGACATTGAAGGTCCTGATTTTGATGTAGAGGGCCCAGAAGGTGGCATCAAGATGCCTAAAATCAAAATGCCGTCATTTGGACTCAAAGGTCCTAGAGTGGATGGCCCAGATGTTGATATAAATCTGCTCAAAGCAGATGTTGACATTAAAGGACCTGAAATTGACGTTAAAACTCCTGATCTTGACATTGAAGGACCTGAGGGTGAAGTCAAAGGTTCCAAGTACAAAATGCCTTCCATATCAGGGCCAAAGATTTCTATGCCAGATGTCAACTTAAATCTTAAAGGCCCCAAAGTCAGAGGTGATATGGATGTTTCTGTACCAAAGATTTCAGGTGACCTAAAGGCACCAAAACTGGACATTGCAGGTCCTGATGTTGATATAGAGGGCCCAGAAGGTGGCATCAAGATGCCTAAAATCAAAATGCTATCGTTTGGACTCAAAGGTCCCAAATTGGAGAGTCCAGATATTGACTTCAGCCTCCCCAAAGCAGATGTTGATATTAAAGGACCTGAAATTGATGGTAAAGCTCCAGATCTTGACATTGAAGGGCCCGAAGGTGGTTTAAAACATGTTAAGCTCCCCAAATTCAGAGGTCCCAACTTTGGAATAAAGCCTTCAGGTGGCAGTCTTTCAATGCCTGAAAAAGATATAGGGGCGAGTATTGATGTCAAAAGCCCTGATGTCAATATCAGTGGACCAGATGCAAATATCAAGGTGCCAAAAATGAAAAAATCTAAATTTTCACTTGGAATTAAGAGCCCAAAATTGGATGCAGATATTCCTGATGCTGGTGGTAGTGTAGAAGGGCCTGATATGGACATAGATGTGAAAGGAAAGAAGGGTAAATTCAAGTTGACTAAAGGGAAGGGAAAGTCTAAAACCTTTGATGGCGATATCAAGTTGGAGACAAATGAACCTGACGTACAGATGAAGTCAACAAAAGTAAAGAAACCTTTTTTTGGAAAGTTACATTTTCCTGATGTGGAGTTTGACATCAAATCTCCGAAAGTTAAAGGTAGTTCATCTGCATCTGGAACTATAAAATCTAATGTCAATTTGCCTTCTGCAAGCCTTAGAACTGATATTCAGACACCAGATGCAAGTTTGGGTGGTCCCGATTTCAAAACAGAAGGGGGGAAAATCAAAATGACAAAAGTTGGCATCTCTGGCTCTGAGATAAAAACTCCTGAACTGGATGTTAGAGATGCAACATTAGATCTTCCGCAAAAGTATTTTCATTCCCCAGATGTCAGGGTAGCAGGATCAGGCATTAATGGAAAAGGCAGGGCTAACATTGACATAGAAGGTAAAATACAGGATGTTAAGTTGACAGTGCCTGCTGTAAATGTCCGTGGTGGTGCTTTAGATTCTGATTTAAATCTCACCGAACAAAAAGGAGTAAAAGGGAGCATTGAAATACCAGGCTTTAATGTAAGAGGACAAAAAGGAGAGACTGCAAGTGGGTTAGACATGAAGCCAGATGCATCATTATCTGGTGTGATGGAGTACCAAGATGTTAATGTAACCTTTCCCAAAATCAAAGTACCAAAGTTTGGTGTTTCATTGCCTAAAGTAGGTGGAGGAGAGATGGGAGTTGATGTAGGTTCATGTGAATTGGCTGCTGGTTCTAAAGTTAGTTCCCAAAGTCTGGAAATGGAGAACACTGATAGGAAAAGCAGTGGTGGAAAAGTGAAAGTCAAAATGCCAAAAATATTTGCCAAATCTAAATCTAAAGGTGGTAGTGCAGCTGATCTTACTGTTGATGGAGAAGAAATTGATGTTACCAGTAAAGGTGGTGCAAAGGTGTCCAAGGAGTTGAGCCTTAGTTCTGGGGAATTGACACGTGGCAAGTTAGCAATAGAGGGAAGTTCTGGGTTTAAAGTTTCACCAAAGAGTAAATCTGCCTCCCTTGACCTCTTCAAAAAAACACAACATCACTCATCCTCTGTAAGTGATGAGGGAGGTTTAGCTTCCCCTGTTTCTGCTGAAGGCCACTTACAGGCAGAGGGTGGCAAAGTTTCAGTTGATGGAGAAAAGGTTAAAGGCAAAAAAGGAAAGTTGAAGTTTGCTACAGTTGGAGGTTTTAGCTCAAAAAGTAAAGGTTCATATGAAGTGACAGATGAAAGTGAGGTTAGGATTGAGGGTGCTGGTGGAGTTGCTCAGTCTTCAAAGAAGTCCAGAATGTCATCATCATCCAGCAGTGATAGTGGGTCAAAAAGCAGTTTTCGGCTACCACATCTCGAAATAGCGGTTTCGCCAAAGAAATAGTTTTCACGCTATTATCTATACACAGTACATTCACACACACACTTTTTTCAGTCTAGATGACTGTGTAAATCTGTCTTTCATTTAAGCAATGGTGCACTGCCATATTGACTGTTTCTTCAATTCCCACATATGTTCTTTACAGGCATTGATATATATATATATGTATATGTATTTTTTTTTATCACAATTTAACTGTAAATAAGAGAAAACTTATGTAATTTTGATTTTGTTTTGTAGATAGGAAATGCAAATCCAATCCAACAATGTGTGTAGTTAATATAAAAATGGTCATCTGATAACTTGTTCTATTTTTGTACCTTTGAAAATGTTTGAAACTCTGTCCTTTCTAAAATTGTCTGGACACATTTAAATGCAAGATGAATGATTTTAGTTGGATTTGAAAGGATTTTAAGACTTAATCTTCACGTATATATTTAGTGCTGTATCATATGTACTTATCACATATGAATAACTAATTTGAGCAGTGATAAACCAGATCTTATTAGTGAGCACAATTAAGTTTTAAGGGCTGTACAAACTGTAAATAAATTGATTCAAAACGAATACATGGGATAACATAAATTTGTGTCCAAAATATTATCACAGTTCAGATATTATGGAATTTAATATTTGAGATTATAATCTTCTAAAGTATTTATATGTAAGACTCTTTTTCAATGATTGCTTGAGTCTCTTTAAAATGCACACCAGGAAGCAGCTGGCAAAAGCTGTGACATGCTTTGATTTTTAATGGTTTCTAAGGCATTTTTTCTTTGTTATATTTTGCACATTTCTCTACATCCGGTTGACTCTCTCTCTCTCTTCCTCTCACTAAATTTATGAAATGTTGTGCTGTCATCATGTGGTGATATAACTACAGGAATGCTAATGCCAACGGTAAAACATTAATATTTTTGAAAAGGCATAAAATGTGCATTGCTCTTGTAAATAATGGGACATTTAGGCTGCAAATTTCTAACTTTTTTTTCCTTGTATCATTTGCAAAAATTTAAATAAAGTGATCAAATATCAATACTTGTTTTGAATGTGACTCATTTGCATTATAGTGCTAAAAATTTACATGATTGCACACATCTGTATTGTAATGTAAAACCACATACAGAACAGTTTTTTTGGAACAGAACGTTAACATCACAGAACTCCTAAAAACAAGGTTGCATTTCTTCAGCCGTGTTGAATCTGACCATTGTGCTTTTAGCTTTCTATGAATACTTTGATAGGAGCCAACACCAAGAAAACAGGAAATGGGCTTTCCTGTCCTGCTTCTTCAAACCAGTACTAAGGAAGGAAATGATCAGGAAATTCCTTTGAGGGAGGAAAGTGTGGTTTGTTTTGTATGCAAATATTCATTTGCAGAACTGGGATGAGAAAACGGGTCATCCATTTTATGGTTAGCTTGAAATCTATGACAAGCAACATATAAGCTGAGAGGAATAAAGGCAAGGACCCATATTGTTCATATTTTGTTTGAAAGGTAAGACCTAAATTATTGTCTTTTACTACTGACATTGCACGGAATTATTTGTTCAGTTTTGGGTGAACTATCCCTTTAATGTATGGGGCTCTTTAAGGGCAGAGAGGACAGATATAAAGCATTTCATGTAATAGCAATGTATTGAAAGAAATTAAATGCACCTTACAGAAATAAAAATGCTGATGCAATCTTTCTATAGCTTTGAAATGCTTTACATATAAAGTATAAAATGTTGGGTGTACCTGAGAAAATATGCTATATAAAACAATGCATCTTAGCTCGAAAATTACCATGGTTTGCGCTCCATGCTGTCATATTTAGGACTGATTGTAAATCTTTGACCCTCAATGTTTAGTTATGGATATGTTAAGCTATATACATTGAAAAATTGCTTATGAATACTGATAGTAAGTTTTCAAGCTAAAATGTTTTTTACGTTCAAGCCTGTAATTTGTCTAATCAGCCAAGATGACAATTATCTTGCATTCATCTTGCTAAAATTTAGAAACTGATTTCTATTTATCTGCTGTAGTTTTATGGCCATGTTAAGGTAGAGCTGCCTTATGTAATTAACATAAACAAATGTTATATTTCACTCAAACGTTTTTCAAAAACTTCAAATGGCTTCAGAAGGACATCATGGAATAATTGTACAGATTAACATTATTCACCCAGACTACCCGTCATTTTAGTGTAGCTTCAAAATGAGATTAGTTTGAGCATCCAAAGGAAATTCATTGATGCCCTCCACCCCCTGCTGTTCACTTCTTACATAATGCATCAAGGCATAGACATTTCTAAAATGTAGAATGCTGGTAATTGAACACAAAAGTGAGGTGAGAGAACAGCTGGATGACAGACTTCTCATCAAAGTTGTTCGATTCAGAACAACTAGCGATGATTTAAATTGACAAATTTGTTGTAGTATTTTGTGCATCGCAGAGATTCAGAACTTTTAGTGTAAATTCAGAACCACTATACAAATAAAAGCAGATATATAATAACATACAAGATATTTTTCGAGTCTTGTGCACAGGTGAACTCATTCTTATGAATAATACCTACAAAGATAGAGGATACAGGGTGCAAAATATTTCACATTAGGAAAATATTTTCAGAACAAATATTCTGAAACAATAAGCAAGTACATTATCTAAATTAAAAACAAAAATATATTATAAAAGCTGATGTTGGGCAAAATAATTAAATGTACTGCTTTGATTATTTGGTGCATATCACCTTAAAACAAGACCTATGGCTCTCTCTATTCCTTTTTTATGTTTTGATTTGCAAATTTGTCAGAGGATCAAAGTCCCTCCACCACACTAAGGAATTAAGCAAAGGGAGCTCCTCACCAGAACAGATATCATAAAAAGGATGATGGCATCCATATTTTCAGCATAACAATAGAACAGTCAACTGAAGGCACTGCACATGAATAAATCATTACCACTATCGGCAGTATAAGACCAGAAAATCTTTGGATACAAATAGACAATGAGCAAAAATGATCTAAATCTACCTTTTCTAACAGGATAAACACAACCTCTCAAATGTAGAAAATGAGTTAGTGTTATCACATCCCAGTGTACAAACATCAACAAATATTGGTATTGTGATTCGTTTTGCCCTACACACATTTTAAGATTTTTTTTGTCATGTTCAAAATAGAAACCATAATTTGTTACCATCAACAAAATCAAGCAAAATAGCTTTTATCAGATTAAAACTGTTGATGTAGTCAAAGAACACTTTTGGGTATACCATTGAAAATGCATGTAGGTTTCTTTATTTACAGCATTCTTACCGTGATTTTACAGAACATAGTCATTTCCCGAACGTTTACTTGAGATGAAATACTAACTGGTGCTGTGGCGAAGTCAAAACAGTGATACACTTTGGTGTTTATCTGTCACTTTGGCTTGAGACAGACAGCGAGAGAATATATTTTCGGCATGGTTTCCTTCGCTGAGAGGATGAGACCATCTCCCTCGGGATCCCATCAGATGGGGGGACTGTGCGAGAAGACATGTCTATGAGCGAGAGAGAGCTAGAGCGAGGGAAAGAGCATGTATGTGCACACAGAAAGGAAAGGGGCAGAGTGGGAGTGCGAGCGCAGATGATGCTGCTCATGGAAGGAGATGGTGCAGGTTTTGGCTTTCCTTCCTGTGCTACAAGATTTTCCCCACTAAGGTTTGACCTCTGCGTCCTGTCAGTGTGGCACGTCAGCTTCTCGGGTAAGAGCTGTTCGTTATTTGCTGCTGGAATCAGAGCAGGTTGCTGTATGCGTTCCTAATTTTCTGTGTTGTGTGTGTGTGTCGTATGTGCAGAGAGACACAGAACGACAAAGGGAAGGGAGGAGGGTGGTACAGGCAGAGGATATCATGTGTGCGCTATAACTAAGGACAAGGAGCAGACAGAGTTGGAGAAGAGGGGAAATAAGACACAAGGCAGAAGCTGCAGACACCGTCCCTTTATTGGCCAGAACCGGCAACAAAGACAAAAGAGGTAAAGCCTCTGAAGCCGAGACTCAGGCGTTCTGCCTCGTTACTCCTCGGATTCCATGTGCCACTGGCGTCTCATCGAGGGCGAATAGGATGTCTGTGTCTGGAAAAAAGGAGTTTGACGTGAAGCAGATCCTCAGGCTCCGCTGGCGCTGGTTCAGCCACAGCACTCAGACCTCAGCTGGGAATGGGGGCTACATCCAACAGGAAGGTTTTGACCACCGGGGAACACCGGTCCGGCTGAAGAGTCACTCCCGGGACAGAGGAGGACTCCGCAAGAGCAACAGCCCCGTGCACAGCATTCTGGCACCGAACCCTGGACCCACGCCTGTTTATGCCAGGCCAGGCGATCAATCATGGCACCAGCAAAACATCATCCAGCATCTCCAAGCCAGCGAGGAGCAGCTTCCCAAGAGCAACTCACCTTGCAGTGCCAGGAAAGAGGAAGCGAAGAGCAGCCATGAGGATGTGAAGAGCAATCCGGAGGATCCCTGTGAGGAGGAAGCCACAGACAGGTAAAAAAGCTCAGTGCAGAAATAGAACCGTATAACCAGATGTGTGAAGAGGTACACATGCAGGGTGGAAGCGACTAAGTTTTGCCTGTAGGCATGAAAGACTTGCAGTTTTTAGATGAAAATCCTATTTTTGCCCTTCGTGCGGTAATGAAAACAGACAGTACTGTGCCGAGAGATGAGCGAGGTGTTATTTTGGGACAGAGTGGATTTACGTTAAGCCCCAGGGAGCGTCAGGATTGAGTACAAGTACAGTATTTAACTGTCACTTTATTCTGGCTCATTACGCCAGTGAAATTCGCTCAGAAATGACAGTTTGTTTTATTTTCATTGGCTGTGTTGCCAGTACTCAGGGCCTCCGCTGACACATTGGTTTGGTATTCGGAGAATATCATTTTTCAGTCAACTCCACCATTGCAGCTGCCAACGCTGCTCACCTGGGAATAGTTCATTCACATGACACGCGGGTTGTAGAAGCACAGCTCTGAAATACCCACAGATAAATTATTCATCAAGCAGACATCTCACAAAACACAGAGGAAAACATAGAAGCATCTGGAGATAGCCGGCAGTATAACACATTCTGTAAGCCGTGACGTGGTTCGCTCTTCATTTTAGCAGCCTGCATTTTCATAACCTGAAGCAGGAATATTTCACGGCTTGTTAATGCATGCATTCTCTGACTTATAAATGCTACAGAGAGGATACCATTACATCAGAGACAATTGGCGCAAGCGCTATAAATTTGGAAAGGACAACGGGATGAATTATCTTTAGTGGGGATGATATTTACACATCAGTGCAGTTCGAGAGAAAGAGAACATTTCATTTTCTTCTTCCGATCGATCAAAATTTATGAGATTATAAAGCCCTACTTGCACAGACGCTTTCAATTCACATCTTAAGTGCTGGATGTTTAGGAGAGAAAGATCTTGTTATTATTATTATTATATATTTTTTTTTACCACTGAGTGGCTCTGTCTAGCATAATGTCAACGTAAGGCAGGAAGTAAACATCTTTTCAGAAAAGGAAGTGGCAAGACTGACCCACACTAAAAGATGATGTCATGAGAGATAAAAACAAAACCACACTTTTCTAAAAAAACAAAAACAAACAAACAAAAAAAACCTGCCAATAGCCCATTCCATTCTACAACTGATGAACAGTTTTGTCTTTAACGCTTACATATAAAGCCCTATACATAAATACATAAGACTATGAATGTTTGTGTTTAGACAGAATTTCTAGTGACTTTATTAACCCTTGATTAAGAATAATATATTTGTAGAGTAAGGGATTCAAATATGCTGATTATTTAATCACATATATTTGTACTAGCTGAAAAAAAGCACCCTAATGGTAATTTAAATGTATTGCATTATTGTTTTTCAATATGTTTTTATCTTATTGCATTGCATTTTTCAATTGCATTTTATTTAGCAATTCATGCATATAGGCCAGGGGTAGGCAAGTTCGGTCCTAGAGAGCCGCAGTCCTGCAGAGTTCAGCTCCAACCCTGAA